AAAGTATTACAGAAAGTACGCATGTAAATGTACAGCCTGACAAGTTTTCACAAAACAGTGGCACCCATGTAACCAACACCAAGATCAAGAAACTTACCAGGACGCCAGAATGTCCCTTCAGGCCCCCTTCGGTTACCACTCCTCCCCTGGAATGACCATTATTTGGACTTATACCTACACAGATTTGACCTGGGTGGGTGTTGCGGCTCGGTGTCTTGTGGGGTGCTCTCAGCTGTGCACTTGGCTTTACACTTCTAGACTTGGCAGAAGTTTAGGGCACCTGCTGCTTTGACCTGCTGGTGACAGGAACTAAGTGGACTGGGCCCACCCTGACAATCCAGGCCCACCTTCCCACCTCCAGGCTAGAGCTCACTTACAACTGCAGTCTTTTTTTGCCAGGTAGGGTTCAGCTTCCCAGGTTCGGGGCATTAGGGCACAGACATCCTCAGTGGTCCAGGAAAGGCGAGCGCTGCCCCTACCTACCACAGGGAGAGGAGTGAAAGAACACTCTGCTCCTTACATATCTGGTAGGACTCTTGGGTGAAGCTATCTCGGCCTAAACTTTGAGGATCTTAATTATGGATTATCTATTATTATGAGACTATTAATTTTTTATCAGTAAGTTATTTTTTAAATGAATTTATCATTTCTTCTGTATTTTCAATTTTATTTATGACATCTTAATGTCTAACAGGATCTGTAGAGTGACATTTTCTTTTTTCATTCCCATTGTTTCTGCCTTTTAACTTTTACTTTTTAAGAAAAAATATCAGGCTTATTTGCGGTATATGAACATTTTCCACCACTCCAAGAGGTTTCCTTGTGTGCCTGTGAAGTCAATCCACGCCCCGCCCCCAGCAGGCCTGGTAACCAACCACAGCTTATTTCTGTCCCTATAGTTTTGCTTTGACAAAAATGTCACATAAATGGAGTCACAGAGCCATTTGCGTTTGGCTTAGCGTAACATTTTCGGATTTATTCACATGTCTACATGTGCCAGTGTAGCTTGTTTATACACTCATCAGTTGATGGACATTTGGGTTGTTACCAGTTTGGCAGATTATGGAAAAAGCTGCTATAAACATTTCAGTACAGGTCTTTGCATGAACAAACATTTTCATTTATCTTGAATACATTTTTAGGACTGGAATTGCTGGCTTGTACATGACAGTCAGACCAACGTCCCCCTAGATCTCAATCTCTGGAACGTTTGAAGGTTAGGTTACATGGCAAAGGGAAACTAAGGTTGCCAGCCAGCAGATAGAGAGATGTTGCTAGTGGGCCCCATGCAATCACCAGGGTCTCTGAAAGCTGGAAGAGGGAGGCAAGAGGAAAAGGTCAGACTGAGGCCATGTGAGAAGGATTCAACTCACCACTGCTGACTCTGAAGATGGAGGAAGCAATCATGAGTCAAGGAATGTGGGCAGCTTCTAAGAAGCAGGAAAAGGCAGGGGATTCTCCCCTAGGGTTTTCAGAAGGCACACAACCCTGGCCACACTTTGATTTTAGCCACGTGAGACCCATGTCAGCCTTCTGGCCTCCAAAACTGTAATACTGTGTTTTTTAAGCCACTAAGTTTGTGGCAATTTGTTATAGCAGCTGCAGAAAACTAACACATATAGTGAGGGAACAGGAAACTGTCAGGCTTCCTGAAATGGCTGAACCACTTTGCATTCCCAGCAGCAATGGTCATTATTCCACAACAACCCCCCCCCCTCTTTTTTGGTCAGGTTTGTTGTTTTTTCAACTTAAGCCATTCTATGCCTCTTTCCTTTCTTCTTGGTCATTCTTCCCATGGTTTATCAATTTTAATAATAAAAATATAAGAACTTTTGATTTTTTTTCCTATTTCATTAATTCCTGAAATCCTGTTTTCATCTTTATTGTTTGCTTTGGGTTTAGTTTACTATTTTTTTCCTAACTTCTTGAGATGAATGTGTACAGCACTGGTCTTCAGCCTTTTCCCTAATACTAGCCTTTAGGATTATAAATTTTGACTCAAGAATGGCTTTAGCTGCTTCTCACAAGTTATGATGTATAATATTTTCATTATCATTCAGCTCAAGATATTTTTCTAATTTCCTTTTTGATTTCTTCTCTGACCAATGGGTTACCTAGAAGTGAATTAGTTTCCAAACATGAGAATTTTTGTTATTACTGATTTCTCTTAATTATAACATAATCAGGGACCATAGTCTACATGATATAACTCCTTTAGAAGGTACTCAGGCTCGCTTTGTAGTCAAATGTCCTAGTCAGTTTTCATAAATGTTCCTGAAAGCAGTGTGTGTTCTGTGATTTGGGATACACTGCTCTGTAATTGTTCACCAGGCCAATGTGGCTGAATGTTTTCTTCAAGGCTCCCATGTCTGTACCAATATTGGTCTGCTTAGTCTATCATACACAAAAGGTGTGTGAAAATCTCCCACCGAGGGTAGATTTGCATACTTCTACATGTATTCTCATCATTTGTGCTTTAAATATGCTAAGGCTGTTACGTACATATGAATTTGGAATTTTTATATATTCTCATACTTGAGAAATCTATCTCCATCTCTAACAATGCTTTTGCCTTAAAGTTTTTTTAATACACAGAAAATACAGCCACACATTAGCTTTTGACTGGAGTCTGCATGATGTATCTTTTCCTATCTTTTGTCTATGAAGACAGAGAAAGTTTCAGACTTCTCTCGTCAAACGCTCATAGATGATTTTTAAAGACTTGCACCTTAAAAAAATTACAGCATATAATCCATGTAATTACTTATTTATTTGGGTCTAAATCTACCATATTACTAAACGCTTTCTGGTTGTCATACCTGTTTTATTTCCTTTGTTTGCTTTTGGATGATCATTTATTGGGCTAGTGTTCCTTCTACCGACTTGAAAGTCACACACTTTACCATGTCTACGTGCACTCCAAGTCTCATGTTATGGGCTGACAGGGACTCGTAGTTAATGCAAGAACTTTAGATTACTCAATTTACCCCCTTCCCCCAATTTATATGCCACTCTAGTCTTGTATTTTAGTTCTCTCTGTATTTCCACCTCCACAAGACATTGTTTTACGTCATCATTCATTTTGATTTATCCAGATGGCTACCATTTCCATTACCATATATACCTTTCTGCATCTGTATTTTTTTAAACACTCCTTATTTATTCTACTGCATGCTGTATTAAGAACTGCTTGCCTGGACTGCAGTCTCTCTACTGAGTCAGCCAGCCCAGGCCAGTCCCGGCTCCTCCAGTACATCTTTCCTGTGAACCCTGGAGGAGTATCTGACCAGGTGAGGTCAAATCTTTCCATGGCTCCTACTGCCATGGGTTTATAAACTCTTTCTTGATCTGTCCCCTACCTAATTCTAAAATCTCATCCTTACTTATGTCCCACATCTGCCCTATACTCTCTACTCATAGTTAGCGATTTTCTAGAGTGCCCAGATTTTATCAAAAACATGTTATTCCTTGTACCTGGATTGCCATTCTCCATTTGTATCTGAAAAACTGCTTCTAATCCTTCAAGACCCAGTCACTTCCCTGGGTGCTTTCTTGTGCTCTGTGGGTGGAGGCCAAAGCCCTTCTGAGAGTACTCTATGCATAAATCTGCTCTCTTGTTACTGTTCTGGTTGCTCCGTGAGGGCAGGACTAGCCTTAACCACGCATATATCCCCATTTCCTAGCCCAATAGGAAAATGGGGCCTAAACTGAGATCATCCTCCAAAAGGGGATTATACTCCCCGTGTTGTTCTGAAGCTGAAATCATAGTCTATGTGAAAGAGCTTGAAAAATCAGATAAGTATGTGAAGATTAATGGTTGGTAGTGAGTGGTAACTATTTCACATGCTTTATGGAAAAAAAATTTAAACAAAACATGTCTAGCATTACTTTGTTCCCAGGAAATTTAAGTATCAGGAGATCATAACTTACTTTGTCACCTTGTGCCTGAATAGTGAAAAATAGATCAGCTTTGTAAGGAGAATCTGAATGTTGTTAATTGTTCTAAAAATTTTGTTCTTTGCAGGGTAACTCTTTTAAAAGAAAATCTTACCTGGAATCCCAAATACATAACATCACGTTGTGAATGAAGCGCATGTGCTGCGTCTTTCTCACAGCAGTCACTAGCAGCACAAAATGATTACCCCTCTGCTAAGTTCAGAGTTTTGGGCAGGTTTCCATAATCTCTTCAACTAGAGAACTGAATAACTTTGTTTTAACATGCCAACAACCAATCTGGCATTTAAAAGTAACTTTATTAAAGTTGAGGATAGCTGTTTAATACACAATTTGATATAATAAATCTACAGCTAGTCACCACTCACATAATTGAGCTTCTGCATGACACTCTCCTTGGCTAACGCTCAGTGTTGTGGCAGTGGCTGGGCTCTGTACGACAGGCTACCTGCCCTCATGGACTGACGGGCTCTCCTGCTCCCACCTTCCAGAACTCGGGAATTACTAATCCTGAGAAGAAAGTTCAGAGCTTTTTCTGTGGTACTTATAACTTACTTTACTAAAGTTTTAAAAGGCTAAGAGACATTTGTGAATTTCAAACGTAAACCTGGAATTTAAAGTGTATGTCCAGATAAATTGTACTATGAAATGAAAGGTTTTATTTGCAACTTACACAACTTCATGAAAAAATACACTGCTCAGAATCTGACATAGGCTAAGTAAAAAACATTTTTTTTCTGAAAAATACGGGTAATATATACTTCTGTCTTAAAATAATTCAAACACATGATTAAATGAACGAATTTTGATAAAATGTTTAAGGTGACAGTTTGCAAAAAGAAAAGTTATCTAACTACATTTGAGTAAATATATAGATATATATTTTATTTGTCAAGAGTAAATGTCAATTTTATTTAGAATTCAAGTACAAAAAATGAAAATTTATATACCAATGACTGTTAAGAAAAAATTAGAAGGCATTAAGTTGTTCTAAGACTACTACAAAGGCACTGAATTCAAATATCCCTTAATATATGGATTATCTAAATTTTCATCTTTAATATGCAGTTGCTCACAGTTATTTTTTTAAGAAATATTTTTAATAAGATGATTCTACCTTATGATTTTTCCCCTGGAAAACAGAGTTTTAAACAAGTATGTAAAACATTCTAATGAAATAGAGTGGCAATACCCCAGGTTCAAAGGTACTCATCATTAGAAAATGGATTTATACCTAGATGTTTTTACTTTTACACACACCTTGTTTCATCACAACAATACATCAACCACAATAAGGCACACTGAATTGTGGAAGGCCATGTTACATAATTTGATACAAAAGCTTAGGATCATGTTACCAATTGGATAATGGTATCAAAAATTAAAAGTTCTATGAAACTATTAAAGAGGTTAGAGCTTCAGGTACATAATACATTTTAAAACATATTTCCCAAAATTTACCTTTAGTATGTACAAAAAAGGAGTTCATCTTGGAATATAAATGCAATCAGATAGCCATATAATGAATGACTTCTGTATTTTCAATGGCACTGACACTTTGCTCTGTGGTACAATGCACGTAAGTGACAATAACTGGGCAGCAGGAGAAATGATTTAGATTCATCACAAACCAGCAACTTGAAAACTTCTAACAACAGTGAATATAAAAGTGATATCACCCACTGTGGTTTATGTATTAACCTTATACTTAAAAATATTTTTCCATAAATGGCGGTAACTACAGCCATTTGCCAGATATAGAATAAATGATACAGCAAATAAAAACAGCAAGAAAATCAAAGCATACTTCTAACATTTTAATAATTTTTGCTTGTGATGACCTTCTGTGATCTGGAACCTTTGTTTTACATAAAATTGGAGCTGGAAAGAGAAGACAAGACCTTATGATTGGTACAATAAAAAAAACCATATAGGAAATAAAAATTACTAGAATCATTAGTTTTACAAGGTAAGCTTTTACAGAAAGAGAAAATACACATCAATATACTATAGATATCTTTGGAAAATAAAAAATAAGAAAACATCCAACTCCATTTTCTTGAATATGAATTCTTTTGAGCTCTCAAAAAAACTATGGGCTTGGCCCTGACTTTATAAACAAGAGCACATGCTAACAGTGGTCTTTAAGTGGAGCAGGGCAACAATTTTTACAAAGCAAATGTAAACTGTCTTTCATATATGGAAGAAACTTGGGGAATCCAATTTCAGTAACACTGGATTGAGCTAAGAGGGTAAGAACAGGTAAAAGGTCCCTCAGCTTTATAATTCAAAGCATATCTTAAAGCAGTAATAAACTATAGTTTATCATTTGAAATTCAATGATTGAATAAAACATAACTATTAAGTCATATTCATTCTTTTGACAAATAATTGCATGTCCACTATATAGCCGGCACTGTTCTAGGCTCTGGGGATGGATGCATCAATGAACAAAACAAGATCCATGCCCATGTAGAACTTATATTGAAAGATGAGATGTGAGAATTCATTCCTTCTCTTTTCCCCACAAACCATAAAATCCACAGGTCAGTTAAACCCACCAAAACTCTATGGATTTACTTCTCCATAGTTCAAAAATGGAAAGCTGCCATGGGTCAACATTATGTTTTCCTAATTATTTTTAAGTTAAATTATAGTATTCTGAAAATGCTGGGTTTGAAATAAGATGTGATGATAAAATTAAACCAGAAATGTTGCTCTGTGAGGAACAAAAGGAGAGCTGGATGCTGCCAAAGCAGAGGTAGCTGGAGTAAACTAAGGCAAAGAGTCACCAAGAAGCACTCAACAGAACAAGTCAGTGATGAATTTCAAGAACAAATAGGCAAAATGACAAGGACATTTTAAGTGGCAGAAATAAAGGATATAAAGTATAGAAAAGGAAAAAAACTTATTTTCTAAAACTTTGGTAACTTTTATTTTAACACATACCCCAAACCTATAAGCCTTGAGATTATCATCCAAATGCTACTCATGGCCGCCCCATCGTACAGGGGCCCTCTCTACCTTCCTCTGCATCTTTACGTCCACCATTGGTTTCACAAGCTCTGACATCAAAGCACAGGAGTTCGAATCGATAGCCTGGTTCCCTTATTAAAATAAAAATTCTCACAAAATCATCATTAGTAGAATTTGTTAAAAAAATGAACTAAATTTTTCTTATCAAATATTATTTTACTTCTATGACTCCCCAACAAAGTATACAGCTTCCATTTAGACATGAAATTTAACATAACTAACGGTACGTCAGCAGTTATTAGACGTGTGCTAGAAACACAGGCTGGACAATGAAATAAGAGCAGCCATTTTTCCCCTCAGGTAGCTGAGCCTTTTTACATTATGATATATTTTGTTCATTCATTCATTTGCTCATTTTGGCAAATATTTACTAAGCACCTAATATGTGCCAGATGCTGTTCTAGATGCTGGGGAAATGGCAGTGAACAAGAGGGACAGGTCTCTGCTCTCAAGAAGCTGATATTTTAGTTGCCAGAGCCTGATACTAAATAAGGAAACAGACTGTGATAAGCATAAGATCAAAGAGGGCAATGAAACAGAAAGTCATGGGGAAGGGGACCACCAGAGTGGGGTTTTGGGAATAGCTTACTTCTTACGGTCCTTGTCCTTCTTCAGGTTGCTGCCCGATGCCATGTAGGACTGGTTCTGGTATATCTCTGAGGTAGCTTTCTTTTTTGAGAAAGCAATTATTTCTTCTTCCAAGAGTCTTCTCTTCTCTTCAAGCTTCATTCTCTCTTCTTGGTGAACTCTTTTAAGGTGTTCAAATTTGGCCTGCAGCTGTGAAATAAAGGTACAATTCCCATTAATGACACAGTGTGGCAGCACACACACGGGAATGTTCTCCAGCTTAGCAACAATTGCTAACACTAACCTACACAGAAATCTACAAATTTTCCTGATGTCTCAAAAGTTCATGCTTGAAGTAAAAATGTACATATGAAACTGCCTTGGTAACTTTATTTTTTTGAAAGATCTTATTTGTTAGAGGGGTGTGTGGGTGGCTCAGTCGTTAAGCGTCTGCCTTCGGCTCAGGTCATGATCCCAGGGTCCTGGGACCGAGCCCCGCATAGGCTCCCTGCTCCGCGGGAAGCCTGCTTCTCCCTCTCCCACTCCCCCTGCTTGGGCTCCTTCTCTCACTGTGTGTCTCTCTGTCAAATAAATTTTATTTATTGGAAAGAGAGAACAAGCAGGGGGATCAGCAGAGGAAGAGGGAGAAGCAGGCTCCCCGCGGAGCAGGGAGCCCGATGCGGGACTCGATCCCAGGACCCTGGGATCATGACCTGACTGAAGGTAGACGCCTAACGACTAAGCCACCCAGGCGCCCAAGTAACTTTAATTTTAAATGAGTTCCCATGCAAAAAATTGCATGAACAAAAAAAATAAATAAAAAGCCACAGCCTCATGTAAAAACCTGTTTTTAAAACATTTGACCTTTTCTTAAGAGTTTTTATTTTCTTGCTCTGTATTTTCCCCACAAAGCCTCTTCAAATAAACTTTCTAAAATCCATGTTCAATAAAAGTGAGGGACACAAAGCACAAAATCAAGTTATCAAAAAAACACCTTATTTTCCAAATAAAGTTACCAAGTGTAGTGAAACAGTAAAAAGTTACATTGGTAAACCCACCTGGAAAGTGCCAATTATCAATTTAAATCAAGAACCTTAAAAATCTATTACATTTTTCTCCAGTCATTCACCTTCTTGAAATCTAAAGTAAATCAAGAAATCCTAAACTGAGTAAGTTTTATTCATAAAAATACTCACTGTAGTAGAATTTATACCATAATGGGAAAAAATAGCCAGTGTCTAATAAAGTCAAAAAATAAATTTATGCAAAGTATACTCAATGCAGTCATTAAAATGAGTTTGTAAAAGATTATAACATTACACGGTGAAATTTCCCTAGTTTGGTGTTTATCTGGAAAAAAAAAATCTAGGGACATGAGCAGATTCCCACATGAATCAGCTGTGTGCCTTGCCTGCCAAGAACAGAAGTACAGCATCTAGAATCTAGAGCAAAAAAGGCAACTTTTAAAATTCTCTTATCTTGTTAGATTAACTTTGGTATTTTCAGTTCTGGGCAGCATTCATATAAAAAAGTAGGACTTGGGGCGCCTGGGTGGCTCAGGCAGTTAAGCATCTGACTTCAGCTCAGGTCACGATCCCGGGGTCCTGGAATCCAGCCCCATATCAGGCTCCCTGCTCAGCGGGGAGTCTGCTTCTCCTTCTGCCCCTCCCCACCTTGCATATGTGCACAAAGGCGCTCCCTCTCTCTCTCTCAAATAAATAAAATCTCTCTAAAAAAAAGTAGGACTTGGTTTCTAGAAAAGATGGCATATAGTAACAGAAGAAATGTTTTACTAAAAATTAGAGGTTGAGGGGCACCTGGGTTGCTCAGATGGTTAAGCATCTGCCTTCGGCTCATGTCATGATCCCAGGGTCCTGGGATCGAGCCCCACATCGGGCTCCCTGCTCAGTAGAGAGTCTGCTTCTCCCTCTCCCTCTCCCTCTGCCCCTCCCCCTGCTTGTGCTCTCTTTCTCTCTCAAATGAAAAAATAAAATCTTTTAAAAAAAGAAATCAGAGGTTGAGGGTGGAAACTGAAGAGCTAAACTCCATCCTAATAAAAATTAACTGTTCCAAATATGGAAGAGGTTGTGTTGTACACCAGTAAAGCCTGACTGGAGATGTATTTAAATGGAGAGAGAAAAGAACTGAAACAGATTAAGACCCTTCAACTCTAAGATTCTTTTATGCCTGAGGATGGCATTTCAGAGAAGCATCAGTTCCTTAATATTTGCTTATTTAAATAGTTCCTGCTTGTGCAAAAAGCTGTGTTTGTGTGTGTGTGTGTGTGTGTGTTTAAAGGGTGGGGTAATCTAGTTGTCATTCAAATCAGTGGTATAAACAAGAGAGTCACAACTCTCTGAGTATGTGTGCATTTCCTATAAATGTGGGAGAGAGCTAAGTAAAGCCTGGAAAGACAGGATACAGGAGTGGATTTATATTATATTAATAAAGACATCTCTGATTACTTAAGTGGAGGCTGCATACTCTGTATGCATAGTTAAATATCTTGAAAGGTTATAGGGTACTTCATATATCATTCATGAGGTTGACTAAAAATTGCAGAAATACTCTAAAGAGAAAAATGTTTTAAAAGGGGAGGCGGGGGGGCTCAGATGGTCAAGTGTCTGCCTTCGGTTCAGGTCATGATCTCCAGGTCCTGGGATTGAGCCCCGCGTTAGGCTCCCAGCTCAGGGGGGAGTCTGCTTCTCTCTCTCCCTCTGCCTCTCCCCCCCACCTTGTGTTCTGTCTTCTCTCTCAAATGAATAAATAAAATCTTTAAAAATAAAAGGGGAAGCAGGGTAGGTATGACATCACATCACGTGGAGTTCACAACTTTTGATAGCAACAGTCCACACCATATACAAGATTCACTCATGGTTCCACTATTCACTACAATAGGGATTTAATTCAAACATATTTTCAAATATTCAGAAGTAGTGTTTACAAAAGATATAGCAGTGTGCCATACTGATGATACTGTCTTAAGGGCACTGATGAGAAGTTATCAACAGCACAGAGGTCTGTTTTTCTGACCTTGACTCTAAAGTATTTAATGATACTGACTTTACAGTATAAAATATGGTCACGAAGTACCTTGTAATATTAATAAAGGGGCCTGGAATCTACTGCCTCTAATGCTATATAATAAAAAATTTAGAACTCTTGTGAGAATTTTGGTTGTTGATGCCTTAGGTTTACATTAACTTCATTTTTTGTGCTTCACAAAAAAGCACTTGAACCATAAAAATAAAAGTCTACAAAAGATCTGCTGACAAATAGTCTTTCTTTTTTTTCTTTTAACCATGTGGTTACCCTGAATTTTTAATTTCCTTTTAAATAATACATGTTTAAGCAAAATATTCTTATGTGGGATTTTAAAAATTAAAAACTCAACTAGAAACCACTTCTACATCTTTTCTCCTCACTGGAGAAACTAAGACTCATGATACATGAGAGATAAACTCTTAAATAAGGAGTTTTACTCTACTACCATCTTAAAGATGAATCTACTAATGAAAAAAAAAAATCAGCATCCTTATTTCCTACTCATCACAACTCTTTCCTCAATATTTATATTTAAAAATAACTCAAAACTAGGGGACTATTCTCCAATACAAGATACTAAACAAAGAGAATACCCAAATGTGACAGGAGACCTACAACTGAATTCCAGTTCAAAAACAAAAGTAAAAAAAATCACCAAAAAAAACAAACCAAAACAAACCAAAACAAACAAAAAAAGCAATAAAAGGCCATCTTGGGGCAACTGGGGAAGTGTGAATGTCGACTGGAGATCAGGTGAGATTATGGCATTCCTATTAATTTTCTTAGGTGTAAAAAAAAAAATTTTTTTTTTCTTAGGTATAATACTGGTACAATGGTTAGGGAGGAAAATGTGCCTAAGCTTCAGAGATGCATACTGAAGGGCCTCGGGATAAAGTGTCATAATCATAATGTCTATAATCAGCTTTCAGATGACCAGGGAAAAACATACATCCTCCCCTCAGATGCATACACACGCATTTATAAAATATAGATGGCAAATTCCCTTTTGAGCCAATCCTTTTTGACCATCATCTTGAATATGGCCATTTCACTTAAAAGTAGCCATTGTGGTTAGGTCTATAGAAAATAGCTTAAGTCAAATAAAAGTAAAACTATTGCCTGAAGAACTAGAAGCAAACAGTACTATGGAAATTAACTGTGATGTTTATGTGTATGTATGCGCCCATGTGCACCAAGGCTATCCAAAGGTCATTTGACCACCTGACTCATGGAAAGCCTGACTTCAAACTGAAAGAGCTACTTAACTGCTTTCATAGTTACCCATTTCATAGCAAGCATCAATCCCAACAACTCTCAAGAACTCTCAAGAAAGGCTTTATCAAGCCACAGCTAAAACATTTCTGGTTCAAACTTAAGACATTTAAAACACTTTTTTTATTTTTTATTGTTATGTTAATCACCATACATTACATCATTAGTTTCTGATGTAGTGTTCCATGATTCATTGTTTGTGCATAATAACCAGTGCCCCACGCAGAATGTACCCTCTTTAATACCCATCACCAGGCTAACCCATCCCCCCACTCCCCTCCCCTCCAGAACCCCTAAAACACTTCTTAGTAACCTAGTCCAGTACAAGTCCTTGGTGAACCACTTCTGATGGAAGACTATTTATGCAAAAAGGCCAAAATTTTTATTTGAATTCAGACTTTTTAAAGTCCGTACGCAAGGACTATGTGTTAAAATAGCTACTTATTGAACAAGTAGTCTCCAAAAGCATCTCAGCTAAATTCTTGAGATAAATCTCCCCAACAGGACACCTAAAAAACAAATGCAAATCATGTCAAACCAGCATACTTGCCTCTCTTTCAGCTTCTTTCAATATGGCTTCTTTCTCCTTTACTCGCTGCACAAACATCTGCTTCATTTCTTCTTCCTTCCTCTGACGTTCACCATAAAATTCATGTCTTTTGGCTTCATAGGTCTCTTGAAGACTAAAAAGTTATTTGTGGTACTCTCATGTTAAAAAATGATGTAGGCAACTTGCAAACACTCAAACTTCTTGGGTTAAGCCTTGTAACTATAACATGTACCAATGCCTCTTATACAGAGCGGTCCGAAACATGACATTTCCTACAGCATGAGACTTAAAAAGCCACCAGTGCTACAGCTAATAGAGAGTACTAGATTTCTGAAATCTCTGACTTGTCAAGTCCTTCCCAAGAAGTATTCTCATTTTACCCCAAATGAATTCCTCTTTCAGTCTTCGTTAATTAGCATCACTGTGTCTGGAAACCTTGAAGTCTTTAAGTCATCCACGACTCTTCCCTTAACCTTATCTCTGTATCTGCTCACCAAGGTCTTGGGAGTTCAGTCTGTGACCTTGACATCATTTTAATCCAGTCTTTTGATTTCTACAGATACTCTAGAACAGCCCAACTCAATCTTAGTGATTTTCTGCCTTCACTATTACAAATTAATATCCTAACTGATCTCTGGGCTTTTAGTTCTTCTTTCTTCTACTTTCTTAATCTTGCCACTCCTAAGATTTTCCAAAAACCCCACAGATCTCATTATCTTTTTTTTTTTCCACTGCATCAGTTATCTACAGAATAAGGTCCCAATTCCTTTAAATAGCACTTAAGAAACTTTACAATCTGGTCTAATTCTACCTTTCCAGATTCATCTCTTACCAAACAAATCCAATCCTCCTAAGGTTTCAGCCATACCAACCAATTCGTTGTTCCTAAAACCACACATTTCATGCTTTAGCTCGTGTAGCTTCTGTGCTTCCAACATTACTGCCCACCTGCCAACCCCCATTCTACCCAGCTAATCCTCTACTCCTTGAATTTGAAAGGCCAAATTCAAATGCAACTTCCTCTATAAAGCCTTCTCTGGGAGCGTCTGGGGTCTGGGTGGCTCAGTCGGTTAAGTGCCTTTGGCTCAGGTCATGATCCCAGGGTCCTGGGATTGACCCCTGCATCTGGCTCCCTGCTCAGTGGAGAGTAGTCTCCTTCTCCCTCTCCCTCTGCAGATCCCCCTGCTTGTGCTTGCTCTCTCTCTCTGTCAAATAAATAAATAAAATCTTTAAAAAAAAAAGAAGCCTTCTCTGATCTCCCCATTTGGAACTTCTATGCCTTCTAAGCACTCTCATGGCACTTTGTACCTCTTCTTTGGCATTTATATCCTACTTGTCTCTCTAACAGATCATTATCTTTGTAACCCGACTATCCAGCAAAACTCTCTAGACATTTCAGGCTCTTCATAACTGTTCATTTAATGACAGAAATTGCCAGGAAGTAGAGCCAGACTTAACCAAGCAGAGCAAGGATTGTCCTGGAACACTATGCCCAGGTGCCCTTATATATATATATATATTTTTGTTTGTTTGTTTTTTGTTTTTGTTTTGTTTTACTTATAGCATTTCAGAGGTATAACAGACCTTCTTATACGTCAGAAACACCAAGCCCTTCCATTTCAGCTCACTATGAGACTATCACAAAGATTTAACAGGGAACACAAATGTACCTTCCAGCTGTGTTGCAATGAGAAATTTCTACTGCTTACAAAAGTATTTTATATCTAAGTAGATATAAATATGATGAATTAAGGAATTTTACAGTCTTAAATAAGGTCCTACCTCCTTTAAATAGCACTTAAGAAACTTCACAATCTGGCCTAATTCTACCCTACCAGCTTCATCTCTTACCAAACAAACTAATCCTCTTAAGGTTCCAGCCATACCAACCTATTCACTGGTCCTATAACTGGAGAAATAAATCTTATAAATATAGAATTCTAGAAGTTCAAGGAGAATTAGAGTAAGAAATGTTGCACAACAGCTATTACAGCTGATTGTACGGGGTATGCATAGCAGGTGCTCTGAGGAGGAACAGATCCTAAACACTGTAAGAGCAAAATATACAAACTGCCCTAGATAACCACATAAATGCCCAAAATCTCAAGGAAACATTTTAATTTTTACCAGGCTTTTTGCTTTTCTGTGTTTGTTTTGGTCTTATTTTAAAGAAACCTCTATATCTATCAGGCTACTTTCATCATTTTCAGAAACCTCACTACATTTTGCTGATCCTACACTGGATTGATAGTCTTTAATGACAAACTTGATTTAAATGATGTTCTGAATTCATACCAAATGTAAGCTTAAAAAAGTTCCCATTATCTATTTATATAAGCACTTGAGTTGCTTAAGAGGAAAATAAATCTACCTGGCAAAGACAAAAGACCTAACATTTGTTGAATAGCTGCTACCAACAAGGTACTTTTCTGGAATCCTTTCTCTACCTAATTCCCATAGCATCCATGAAGAACAGGCACTAATACTCTGTTTTACAGATAAGAAAACTAAAGCTCAGAGAGGTAAAGTAATCAAAGCAACATAGTCGTAAGTAAAAAGCTGGAATTTGAACCAGGTTAGGTTTTTGTTTTATCAAAAGATTAAAAAGTCATGTACTGCTCCCGCATATTTTCCATCATGTCACATGGTTTTTCAACTTTGACAACCAGAAGTCCATTTTAAGTAAAACCAATTGTAAGTTAAAAAACCCACACTATCTTTCAAAAGGTGGTAAAGAAACTCCTAGAAGATCTGTAAGGGAACAATTTACATAGTGTTGTAAAACTAATGCAACTACTGTTTACTATCATGGATTTATTCATTAAACGAAAATGAAAAAGTTTTCTTGCTATGTTAGTATAAAATTCTTGCTTTTTCTAGTATAAAAGTAGCTTGTTGTCACAAATATTCAATGAAACATATTACTATACTCGCAAATATCACTGATTTAAAGCAAAGTTTAAAACCAAAGAGGAAGAAAAAAAATTTTCAAATGCTCATATTCATCAAGAAAATCACTGCAGTCCCTTCACTTAGGACTTATGTTTCATATACAGTTCTTAAAAGCCTGTTGAACTTTTTCCATTTCTGCTGTAGACTAAATGCAGAAAGTTATTTATTTCTTGAGAGTTCCAAAGACACAAATTTTACAACACAAAAAAATTATGTCAAACACTTAAGCAACTCTAAACTACTACAAAAATCTTCCTTTCAAAACTACAGGTCCCTCGACACTTCAAATGGCAGTGATTTTATACTTTTCAAACGTTAAAGATGATTAACTGTTGGAATGAGAATGGTTATGTTAATCTAAAATAACTTAGGGATTTAAGAAGGTTTATCAGTATTTCTGATCTAGCTTAAATAATTAAAGATCAGTTAATTAAGGCTAGAGGAGAGTATAATGCCATTTACTGGGACCTCATGATAAGCACATGAATAGTGTTGAGAGATTAAGACACTAACTATGACTCAACATAACTGTTCACAATAAAATGTAAATGGAAAACAAGCTGAAGGTCTGGCAATGTAGAGGACTGGGTAGTAAAGAGAAATAAAAGTCATCCTAACATGTTCATATAACTGTTTTTCTAATTGATAGATATAACATTGAGGGATGGATTTTACATGCTAACCAAACCATAGTGACTACTGCTAGGTACACCCCAAATTAAATGGGAAATATTGCCCAGAAAATAGAATGTAACTTCTTGAAACTGTAAAACCTTCCTAAGACATCAAGCTATAATGAACTATAGAAGCTTTACCAAATAATTTATTCACAAATAAGAAAACACCAGGAGAAGAAACATTCTGCCATGCCTGATTCAAGAAATCCAGTAAAAAATGTCTTCTGTCTTAAGGAGAGCAGCCTAGGAAGGGCAGAAGACTCAGGCAGGCAGAGGCCTCCCTTACACTGAGATCTAGTTCCCCATCCTTTCTTGCTTGTTCCCTACCCAATCTGTTACCTGGTGTAAACTGAAGAACCTCCTTTTTCCAATTTTCCATTCTTCATTTGATCAGTGAGCAGATGCTTCCCGAACTGAAGAATTGCTCAAAAAAATGGATGTTCTTAGCAATCTTTGATTCTGAATGCCCACCATCTACCTATACCTCCCTTTGGTATTGTTAACCTGATTACCTTTTGGAGAGCTACCTCTTCCCCCTGAGGATACAGTCTGGTGGGACAATTAATTAGATTCATGCCCACACCGGCCAAGACAAGGGTACATGTCCTAAGGTAGGCCTACTGAACTAGACTATAAATTGTCAAGCAGAGAATAAAAAGGCTGGAAATGGTTTCAGTTCATTCACTCCACTCCCAGCATAGAATGAAACTGGTTTCTACCTGTTCTAAGTCTTCTCTTTGAATCTGTAATTCTTAGTTGATGTAGTCTTCCATAGAACTACTGCCCTTTTTGTCTTATTTTCAAAGAGCTGTAAAGGAAGCAACTGCAATGTATTACACTGCTGTACTTCTACAGCAAGAACCTGATCCTCAGCTTCAACACAGCTGACCTCTCCTTTCCTGAAACTCTCTTCACTTGGCTTCCAAGACATGACACTGCTGGTTTTCCTCCCTCCTCCACCCAAGGCTTCTCAGTCTCTTCTACCTGCTTCTCCAGCTGACAAATATTAGAGTGACTCAAGTCTGTTTCCCAGGCACCTTTCTTTTCAGATGTACTTCTCTCTCCAGGCAATCTCATCCATATTCAAACATTCAGTTAGCCATCTAAATGCTGATTACTCTTAAGTTCATTCCTTTGGCCCAGCCCTCTCCTCTGGGCTCCAGAAAAATACCCAATGTGCCTATTCAACACTGTCACTTGTATGTTTCAGAGGAAGCTCAAGTCAGAAGGTCCCAAACCAAGCTTATGCTCCATCATGCCCATCACTGCTGCTCCATAAAAAAGCCAGACCTTCCAGAGATACCTATTTCGAGGAAAGGTACAACCATCTACCTAGCCAATGAAACCATAATACCAGGAAACTAAGTCTTTCTTTTTAGCAGCATCTTCTGGCATTTCCTGCTTCCTTACCTCAGTATATCCAGTCACTAAGTTCTTTCAGTTTCCTCTTCTAGATATGTCCCAAACACACCCAGTTCTATTTTCACCACTTTTGCTTTCGTCCAAGCAATACTCTCCTACTGGTCTCTCCTAAGCATCTTTGCACACCATTTTAATACTTTCTTTGCATTACAGCTAAAAGTGATTTTTCAAATGCAAATATGGTATGATAACTCCTTGAATGGTTTTGCCGATCCCTTGAAACAAAGCCCAAATCCCAACCAGGTCCTCCACAGGACCTCCTCCCAGTCAACTCCTGCCTACCTGTTCTCTCAATCTTATGCCCCCAACTTGTCTGCTCTCCAGCTGCACTGACCTTCTTACAGAGCTCTGAAGATGTCATTCTCTCTCTGCTTGCAGTCTTTTCATGTCTTGCTCTGACTTCCCCAAATTATTAGCTCAAAACAGTTAACTGCCTCAAGAAAATCTTCTCTAATTTTCCAGATTAAGTCAGGAAACCCTCCCCCATTATATAACATCTCTCCTTTAGTGCACATTTCACAACTGTGATTAATTGTGCAATTTGATTTTGGCCTCCCCTATAAGAATGTAATCTCCATGACAGCCAGGTCTATAGGATCTTATTCAATATTATATCCCCAGCACTTAGCCCAGAGTCTTGCAAATAGGAGACACTTTTAAAAATGTTTATGATTTGGGGGCACCTGGGTGGCTCAAGTCATGATCCCAGGGGCCTGGGATGGAGATCTACATCAGGCTCCCTGCTCAGCGGGGAGCCTGCTTCTCCCTCTCCCTTTGCCATTCCCCCTGCTTGTGCTCTCTGGCTCTATCTCTGTCAAATAAGTAAATAAAATCTTTAAAAAATAATAAAATAAAATGTTTATTATTTTTCATATTATTCACTGCTGACTTTCAAATTATCATCATAGCCTTAAGTGTCAGATTCATTTATGACTAGCAGTGTGTGGAACCAATGGGAGACAAACAGCAAATATCTGCTGAATGACTGAAATTTTAACTTAAATGCAGATTCTTAGGCTCCATCCCTATAAATTCTGAACCCACATTTCTTAATCTTCCACAGATGCCTGATGACTGACCCACCAGGCAACCTGAATCCCTCTTCTCAAGAGTACTTCAAGACTGTCCCACTTGCCCTCACTCAGGACTCATGTCTTAGTAATGTACATTGAGACCGCTGAATTGACCCTCAGACTTGAAAGAACGAGAAGTGAGCCTCTTCTGGGAAACACTAGCGAAGCCAAATCTTCAATAGAGAAAATAATTTTATCAGATTGGCCTGTAATCAAAAGCATAGCATGTCTGAAATTGGTGAGGAGGGGTTAAGTACATACAATTCTTAATTTATCACACTACTAGAGCTAAAACACTAATTAAATCCATAGATTAAAAAATTAAAAAATTTAACCTCATCTACTATTAAATCTTCCCAAAGGTCATATGCAATTGCAGCACTGATTTAATGTTCTCCTTCTCCTTCTTTTTGTGTTTACTCTACTACAAATACTAACAGTCAGGGACATGACAGAAATACAAATAATGAAATAGAAAAGAAGTCCTTAGTTCCACAACAGAGTTTTAAAAAGTGTTTTGCCTAAAGATCTCATGCTTTCCTCCACACAAAAACTATTCTGGAATGTTACATCAAGTCAAATTTGATGTACTAGGTTAAGGATTAGAGTTTCATGTTTACATATCTTAATAATAAAAAAAGTCAGGAATGTGGCAGTACATAAAATTACCCAGCAAGTTTATAACACTGAATGCTGTAATTACTGAACAAGAAGGTCATCAGGCTCTAAAATATTTATAAGTATCCTGTAATATTTTAAGAAACAGTCTAATCTCTGACTCCCTACAAGCACTTTCATTCTTCCTTTATAAGACATTTTCCTAAGTTTAACTCATTTCAAACTTTCATCAAGATAAAAACCAAGGCTGTTTTGTTTTTGTTTTTGTTTTTTTAAAGATTTATTTATTTATTTATTTGAGAGAGCGAGAATGAGAGAGAGAGAGAGTACATGAGAGTGAGGAGGGTCAGAGGGAGAAGCAGGCTCCTCGCTGAGCAGGGAGCCTGATGCAGGACTCGATCCCGGGACTCTGGGATCATGACCTGAGCCAAAGGCAGTCGCTTAAGCAACTGAGCCACCCAGGCGCCCTGTTTTGGGTTTAATATGATTCACATTCCAACTTTCTTTTAGAAGAACAGATAAATATACTTTTATCTTTTTCAGAAAAATACAAACATAAAACCAAATAATGAGAGTTCTTTCCTTTAGTTATTCATTTCAGCATGTACTGAGATAATGGGCTTCTGCCATTATGTTCTTTCTTAAACTCTTAAGAGTCAGATGAGGTATTAGAGAGCTTCAAAAGCAAGAAGACCTCAAGTGATCTGAGAAGCACAATAATTAATCGTAAGCAAATGATTCTACTTCATGGTTTGCCAGATTTCTGAACACCACATTCTCCAACATCCTGGATATATAACAAGGTACAATCCTCTCTAACTTCCTCTTTGGTTGGCTTCTCACAGAAATCCCCCGTTACCTGAGTGGCTTATTCTCTGGGCTCACATCTGTAAAGCCCATTTCCTCCAGTTTGCAACGCCTGTAAAGTTCATAATGCCTAGTGTGCGTCTGTTCTCGCAGATCTTCCATGTTTGTACAAATGAGCATTTCCCGGAGCTTTACAAAGTCACAGTGGTTTTCATTTTCCACTAGCCAGAAAAACAAGAAAACAGCAATACCAATTTTTAATTCCTGGCACATGGTATTTGTTGAATGAAAGAATCTATAAAAACACATCCGAAATAACAGTGAAATGATCAGCCTAATACCTATGATTGTTTTATATAAGTAACCAAGGAAGAAACTCTTGCATTATACACACTGAATTATAGGCAATTTAAATAACAGATTGGGAAACTGCTTTAAATTTAGTAGGCAATCGATACACAGGAAAGAAATACATTATATTATGTTACCATATGCTCCAGTTATTTCACAAATATTTCGTTGGCAGTTTACAAACCATCCTTAGGACATTTTACAAAGTGCTTAAAAAGAGTCTGTAACATTATTTTACTAAAACTTCAAAGTAGTAATTCTGCATACTCAAGATGCCATCTGTACATGCTATAATTATCAAATTCTTTTTATACAATGCCACATTTATGATGCTGTGTTTGACACCATTCAAGATTAGTGAATAAATACACTTAGTTCTCCTTACATGGCCCTTCTTCTACGGTTATGGTGACCAGAAGACTACAAATAATTGTGTAACTGTAACCAATAGTTTTAAGTACAATTACTATTTTTGTATTTTTTATATATTAAAAATGTTAAGTTTTGTTAATATTTTTTATTAACTACAAATCTGTCAATTTAAAAAAGCAGCAGTATTGGGAAACCAGTACTAGTAGGGGTAATGCATTCCCCAGTAATAGCACCACAAGTAAGTGAGTGAACCAGATAGTACTAATTACTTATTCATTACAATGATCCTAAATTTTTTAGGATCATCAATCCTAAAATTTTTTAATTGGCTGACTAGTTTGTTTTGGAAATAGTTGGCAATACTTTGATGATTAGAAATACATAAATGTACAAAATGGTTTATTGTGCCTAGAATTACCTAGTAATTAATTTATATATCATGTCTAAACACTAGTATTTATACTCAAATTCGGTTCTGACTAGCGCTTCCCACTTTCTGAATGTCTTGGCATACCAGGCACAAAATGTGTGTGGTATAATGGAGAAAATGGGGAAGCTCTGCGCAGCCTCCATATACTTGGCCAAAACAGAACACATTCCACTCTTCTGATAACCAAATCATAACCCAAAATAAGCATCAACTCAGAGAATGCACTGAATGCAACTTTCAGACTGTTAGGGACAAACATATTCCTAGTCATCATTCATCTCATTTACCTTGAACAACACCCCAAGGGTACTGGCGAGCTTTGACCATCTTATTTCCAACTTTTACCTCATCCATACTTCCTACAACAGCAAATGGCAAATGTCCCTGGAAAGGAACCATGATACCAAATCATATCTCACGCTATTATGATAAATGACCAACTAAAAAAGTTTTATGAAACTAACAGTCATTAGAGAAAATTTACTCAATAACAAAGTTATTAAAATCAAATGATCTGCTATGTGTGTGATTTTATTTATTTTAAAATTATTTTATTTTTTTAAGATTTTACTTATTTATTTGTCAGAGAGAGAGCACAAGCAGGGGGAGCTGCAGGCTCCCTGTTAAGCAAGGAGCCTGACGCAGGACTTGATCCCAGGACCCTGGGATCATGACCTCAGCCGAAGGCAGATGCTTATCCAACTGAGCCACCCAGGTGCCCCTATACCTCCAATTTTAAAACTTGGCAGTGAATATGTGCCAACTGTTCTATAAAAGTAAATTTCAGGCCCTGTAAAGAAAATTATTCATTGAGCATCCCCCACATGCTATAATCATGCTATAAGAATAAAAAAAATTCTAGTGTAGAATTTTTACCCTAAAAGACAAAAATAATGTTGAGGAAATTACACACATACACACACTCACACACAAAATAAATAACTAAAATATGTATCTATATTTAGTGTGTGCACAGATATATTATACTAATACAAAGTAATATTTAAGTCCCAAACTAGTGCTAAAGGTAGTAAATGTTACATAAACTTAGAGGAGTAAGGGATCACTGAGGTCAGAAAGATATAACCCAAACCAGAGATGGATCAAGGAGAGTAAGAACTAACTTACATAAGGAGAAGATTTTGAACAAATACATAACAGCTAGATGTAGAGAACAGTGAGTAGACTGGTCTGTCTGAAGCTGAGGATTAATATAGGAGAAAAGTCTAATGTAAAAGTTTTAAGTATTATGTTTAATATTTAATAATTGACATTTGGTGTCTTAATTGTCCCTTTTTGAAATATTATTCCAAGTGGGCACAAAAAATAAAATTAGATCTAAAGACAATATAACACATAGGTATTGAGATCACTTCATTTACATTAGTCAGCTTTTATTTAAAATATCTTAATGAAAAATCAGAAAAGGAAAGGAGACATGGCATGAACAGTTAACTGAATGTCACTGTGTTGGGCAGTGAACAAAGACTATATCCTCACAACAACCCAACTGTAGGTATTAACCCAATTTTGTAGTTAACAGTCTCAGGGAGGTTAATATCTCCCACAAGAACATACGGTTAAGTCAAAACCAGTGACACTTCAAAATATAACCAGATATTTAAGAAATTTAGTAGCCTGAAGAAAGTATCACAAAGAACTTAGCCATCTTTAGTCGTATTAAATGAAAAGTTATGTGAATGTTTAATATGTACGTGTGACACTGTAAGGGACACTGAGCTTAAATATCAGATTAGAAAGATATCCTTAAGGACTTTAAGATTCCAAAGCATTCTGAGGGAGAATATAAAGACTTCACATGTTTTTTATTTTTATTTTTTTTTTATTTTTTTAAATGTTTTATTTATTTATTCATGAGAGTCAGAGAGAGAGAGGCAGAGGCAGAGGGAGAAGCAGGCTCCCCGCCTAGCAGGGAGCCCGATGTGGGACTCGATCCCAGGACCCTGGGATCATGACCTGAGCCGAAGGCAGACGCTTAACCATCTGAGCCACCCAGGCGTCCCACATGTTTTTTAAAGACAGGATAAAAGACATCTTTCTAAGGCAATTAGTAAGTATGGTGCCACAAAAGGAGTATCCCAGCCTCACCAATGTATCATTTTATTTAGGTGAAAGTAGAGGAAAGAAAATATGCTCAAAAATATATTCTCATATATTTTTTCCAACTCTAGAAAACAAAACATTTTCCTATACTGAACTTTTGAAAATTCACCTTGTGTGAAGTCTTTTTAGAAGACACAAGTGAAAGTGTTAGTAGGAATGTCACAAGTTACTCTTTTCACATGTAAACAGAATTAACATTCAACTAGGAGCTTACATTCATTGAAGCATTGATTTTAGCAATAGTTTCATCGTCTGTTGGAAACTGATATATCTGAACACCGTTGCTAACCAATTCACTCATGAGCTTGATCTTAAACTTCTGTAATTCAGCTTTAGAAATTGCATCTGCTTTGGCAATCACTGGTATAATGTTCACCTATCGACAACAAAGAAAAACAAAATCTCATAATCGAGAATTTATTTTTTAATTCTGTAGTTTTTGCATTCAAAACCACTCAGTCTCTGACAAACTTCCTTAACCTAGATCAGGGGATGAATAAACTATGGTCCAGCTCATTGTCTGTTGATATAAATATTTACTAGAACACAGCTACACCCATTAATTTACATATTATCCAGAGCCACTTTCATTCTCCAATAGCTGAGATAAGTAGTTACCTCAGAGACCATATGGCCTATAAAGCCTAAAGTATTTACTACCTGGTTCTTCACAGAAAAAGCTTGCCAACTCCTAACCTAGATCATCGCTGGCTGTCACTATCACCATATTCCCCTACACAATCATTCCTACAGATGCTGGCCTTAATCGTAACTGCTTTTAAAAAGCAGAGTTCTTATAAGATTAATCTTATGTCTGAATTTAGGGTTAGAAATCTTATATTTTCTTCTCTTTCTCAAAGTCTCTTATAATTCTATCACATACAAAATGTAAGCAGGAAGCTGAGATCGCCTGCTTAATTCACTAAGTATTTTTTATTTCTTAATAATCTAAGCACTAAATAATCAGGATAATGATCCCTCGGCAAAACCAGGAAGCAGGCGAGTTTCTCCTTCTGCCTCTCATTTTGGCAGATCCCCTCCCCAATGACTCCATCCAATCTGCACCCTGTGTGAGAGACTCCTACCTAGATGTTGAATGAAGGAAATTTTATGAATACCAATTAAAAGTGTTCATGACACTCTCAGCCTTAAAGTCCTATCACTGGCCAGAGAGGAAAAAATGTGGGGTCATGAAGACTAACTTTGCAACATTTGTCCCACAAAAGATTGATGTCTCCGCAAATCTAAGGGTTTGTAGGTTTGTGGTTGGTTTTTTTTTTTTTTTTGGTTATTTAGTTGGTTTTAGTGAAAAATTTCAGGCTAACTAGTATCAAGAAAGTGAAATATCAATGTAATTTTCAGAAGGAAAAGTAAAAATCAATTCTATTCTTAAATTTCTTGCTCTTCTCCAATTTCACACTGACTTACTGTGTATATTCGATTTATTAGTCTTATAAATATGCTTACCAGCTTTCAGGCTAAATTAAAGTACATAAAAATTTGATGCCAAGTTCTTGGTTTCATTATATACTTAGATTGTCAATAAATTATGCCAAGTTAATAACTTAAAATTGCTTCCACAATAAATAGCAAAACTACACTGTAGTGTAAGTGTCTGACATTAAGCTTTTGATTGTCAAGGTACTCATTTCAAAGACATCCATGTCGAATAAACATATTGCCAGCCGTATGACACAGCTACTAGCAAATGAATAAGGCACAAAGCCACCACCACCCATAACGTTCCCCTTTTAAAAAACCTGGGTGACCTGGATAACTGACCACTTGACCATGCCCTAATCCCACTCTTATGCTTTAAATCTGCCAATAAAGAGTGAACTTATGAAACCCTAGACACCCAACCCTCAACCCTAATAAAGGCAGAGCCCAGGTTCACACTCGACCTCATTGTGTGGCCCTTCAGCATGCTATGTACCCTCCAGGACCTGTAAGTAATATAGACCTTGTTCTTCAAAGCTCCCTGATGGTATCTGGCTGAAGTGTATCCTAAGATTGTATTAAGAGCCACAAGGGCTGGCCCAGCCATGACACTGGCCCTAGGGAGGATGTCTGTGGGGCTTGCTATGAATAATATAGTTGGGGGGAGTACCTCAGGCATTCCTAGCCAAGAATATCACTGTAATTAGGCTGGGAGTGTACATCACAGACTGAAAGCTACACTGAAAGCTATACATATATTTGTATATTGGGGGGAGGGAAAAAGATGTTTCACACTGATGGTAACCTGTCACTGTTTACATAACGTAACTTTCATGTCAAGCAGTGGAGTATTCTGCTTTTAGGAACAAAAGACAAGCTATCAATTTAATTAACACTCACATCTGCCCCCTGATGTAGGTATTATTCTCCTTAATTTTTTATTTTAGATGTGAGGAAACTGAGGCTCAGGAGACTATAGAAACTTGCCAAAGAACACAAAGCTATTAAGTGACAGAGCCAGTATTTAAAACCAGCCTCCACTGACACCAAATTCTATCCTGTTTATACAGATCACATCATGTTGCTTCTGTCTAGCTAAGACAAACTCGCACACACTTGGTTTTATGTTGATTTTATGAGCTTCCATACAATTGCTCAACTATAAGAATACGGATAAATGGTTATAACATCTGAGCAAATGAGTAGACTATAATGTAAGCTTCATCAAGTTTTTGCTAAAGCCAGGGGACTGTGCAACTAGCCAAAATTCAATCAATCACAACTTCACTGGCAGCTTTATGCTTTCCCTACAGATTTCTATATAGAAAGTAGTCCTGGCCAGAAAGCCCTTTCTCTTGAATCCTATCTCATAAAATCATTAGCCAGGATAATGAAAGCTGCATTTCTCACACCATCAGAGGTTATGAGAAAATTAGTTTTTTTAGTACAAGAGAGTAGTCTTCAACCACCTTTTACACAGCTAAAAAAAAAAAAAGGTAAGTTAATTTGTAGATATTATTTTTTTACAGCTCCCTGAATTTATATATTACTCCTTGGCTCAGAAATTCAAAATAGGTTTTCTTGGTATGGTTCAAATTAAAACATAATTTATTATAACACATGATGAAACATTAGACCTTAATCTTTGTCAACGAATTTCTTTTCACCAGCGTCATAAAGTAAAATTAGTGTCAAATAAATTCTGGCATGCAATTTAATCACTAAAAAAAGGACTAAAGTTTTGTTAATGTATTTTCTTTGCAGCTCATCTTCCAAACTGAATTTCTCTGGAAAATAACCTAAGATTAAAACTTATCAAATGTTTTAAAATTGCACAGAATAAAAATTAAAATACATATACATATTGTACAGGTATTTAATAGTTCAAAATAAATATTAAAGCATGATAAATTGAGTCCTTTTCCAAGCCCACCTTGCTGTCAAGGCTCTTCATTGTTAAGAGATCCAGTGTCTTCAGAGAGTGACCTGTAGGGGAAATGAAGTAGAGGCACACGTGGATGCGAGAATCGTGGTAGTTAAAGAGAGAGCGCTTGATCTTCAGCTCCTCTTGGAGATAGGCCTCAAACTGAGCATCTATGTAGTCAACTATCGGTTGGTAGCTGAAAAAATAAGTATTAAAGTATTTAATACAGCATATTCACTCTACCTCAGTAAGGTATTTATGTAATTCTAAGGTGTGGGATCTATATTTTTACCAATTAATAAACAGCTACTATCTTTGCTAAACAGAGAACTTTAGTAATAAAACAAATTTCACAGAATATGCATGCACAAAGATAGTACTTCAAAACCATCAGTATAACCTGTACTTTAAATTGCTTTATAGAAACTGAATGAACGTACATGGAGTCATTCTCACATTCATTCATACACTGCACCCCTTTCTGATAAGGGTTCCCATACTTGTCAGACTGCTGGATGAGGCCAGGCACTTAACTATAACCAAACTGGACATATTCTTTAACTGAGAAAAGGCATGAGTAATAATAACTTAAAAGATATTTAAGTCAAATTCTATGACTCCTTGCTTAAGTCTGATTCATAAGGCATGAAGAACAGCAACAAAGTAAGGAGGAAAGGCGTACATCAAATGAAAGTAACTAGTAATGCAGGCATGATTTTATTTTTGTTCAATTATAAACAAAGGAAAGGCACACACACTCTATGCCCTGCGTCCTTGCTTAGATCACTTCTCCTGGCATGCCATTTTCCCGCTAGCTCTTTCATTCTATTCATCTTTCAAGATGCAAATCATATCACACTGCATGTGCATGGACATTCATCTTAGTTTGTGGATGTTCCACTTCATTCTGATATACTAAAAACTGTCTACACAATTCAACTTTCTACTCTTAACTATTCTTATTAAGTAAATCTGGCTTTCCAAGTGAAAATAATAGCAAATAGTTCCCTGGACACTTTTGTAATTATCTTTGTAGCCCAAATGGAGCAGTACTTTGTGCAGCTGAGGTACTCAATATGTGTGCATAGAACTGAATTCTTCCATAAAGTTGCCTGATCCTTCTAGTCCTTAAAGATCATCACCTCTTTTAATCTCATGGAATACCTTATTCTTCCCATGCAGATGGTAAACAATGTGAGGACAGAGACAGTATCTTATACGAGTATTAGGAACACGAGCATTCACTATCAGGAACACTATCCTTGGGAAACTTGTCTAAATGTGATCCAACATGATTCCCTCCCCAAAATAATAAAATAGTAAAACTTAATCTGTAAGTACGTATTTAACATAAAAAAAAAATCCAAAGAAGCGTTTATTAATGACCTGAAAGAGATCAGTAACATGACCCATTTTATGACCTAATAGCCATAAACGGTCCTCTACCTGTGCTGCATTATACTTGTCATAAATGAAGACCAAAACATTTTCTGCTAAATAAATAGCATACCATTAGGAGTTCTTCCATAGTAATTTGCCATAGGTTTCCATTTCTAATACACTGCATACTCAGTCTTCCAATGAAACAAAAGACAATGGCTTAAAATATAAAAACCACCTCCTTAAAAACCTCCAAGTATTCATAAAGTGATAAGGAATTAATCAGGTCAAAATTGAAGAGAAACAATGAGATACCACCTCACACCAGTCAGAATGGCTAGAATTAACAAGTCAGGAAACAACAGATGTTGGTGAGGATGCAAAGAAAGGGGAACCCTCCTACACTGTTGGTGGGAATGCAAGCTGGTGCAGCCACTCTGGAAAACAGTATGGAGGTTCCTCAAAACAACGTTGAAAATAGAGCTACCCTACAACCCAGCAATTGCACTACTGGGTATTTACCCCAAAGATACAAATGTAGTGCTCCGAAGGGGTATGAACACCCCAATGTTTACAGCAGCAATGTCTACAATAGCCAAACTATGGAAAGAGCCAAGATGTCCATCAACAGATGAATGGATAAAGAAGATGTGGTGTGTATATATACCACCTATATACAGAGTAGTATATGGAATACTACTGCAGCCATCAAAAAAACCCCGAAATCTTGCCATTTGCAACGACATGGATGGAACTAGAGGATATTATGCTAAGCAAAATAGGTCAATCAGAGAAAGACAAGTATCATATGATCTCACTGATAGGAGGAATCTGAGAAACAAGACAGAGGATCATAGGGGAAGGGAGGAAAAAATGAAACAAGATGAAACCAGAGAGGAAGACAAACCTAAGAGACTCTTAATATCAGGAAACAAACTGAGGGTTGCTGGAGTGGTGGGGGGTGGGAGGGATGGGGTGGCTGGGTGATGGACATTGGGGAAGGTATGTGCTATGTGAGTGCTGTGAATTATGTAAGACTGATGAATCACAGACCTGTACCTCTAAAACAAATAATACATTTTATGTTAAAAAAAATAAAAAGATAGTAGGAAGGGAAATATGAAGGGGGAAATCGAAGGGGGAGATGAACCATGAGAGACTATGGACTCTGAGAAACAAACTGAGGGTTCTAGAGGGGAGGGGGATGGGGGGATGGGTTAGCCCGGTGATGGGTATTAAGGAGGGCAGGTATTGAATGGACCCCTGGGTGTTAGACGCAAACAATGAATCATGGAACACTACATCAAAAACTAATGATGTAATGTATGGTGACTAACATAACATAATTAAATTAAAAAAAACTGAAGAGAGAGTGGAGCCTGAGAGAGGTGAGCAGAGGACTAGAGGAGGGGTCAGTAAATGGGCCAAGTCCAGATGATGCCTGTATCACACAGCTCTGTTCACGGGTGTATGTATTGCCTATGGCTGCTTTGTGCTACAATGGCTGAGTTGAGTAGTTTGGAGAGAAAACATAAGTCCCGCAAAGTCTGAAATATTTACTATCTAGCACTTTACAGAAAGAGTTTACTAACCCCTGCACTAAAAGCATCAGTGCTAGTTTCGTCCTGAGGCCACTTATCAATCTAGTTCTTGAGCTTCACTTCTGAAGGACTCACAGGACAAGAAGGAAAAAAATCAAAGCCCAGGGCCCACACAGGTAGGAATCTATTAAGAAACTGAATTGAGATCCTAAAAGCCACACCTTCAGCGTAAGAATGAACTAGAAATTAACCTACAATTCCTCCCCTCTCCCCAAGTTTCTATAGGAAAGGTTGCCCTGGCACTAAATGAAGCAGGGAAAATAAAAGGAAAGGGGGAAAAAAAGTCCTTAAGAACTTGAAGCCACAGGTCTGCTCTCACACATATCCACAGCCCAGGTTCACAGTGCCTCTTTGATGCTGAGAACCCTGAGCCATGAAATGAGTTTAAGGATCCTCAGAGTATATTAAAGCCAACAGGGGCCTAACATAAGCATATCCAAATCTGTTCAAAGGAACACAACTTCATCTTAGACCTCAAAGTATCTCCGCAAAAACTTTTCCAAAGACCATGAGAACTATAATAAAAAAATAACCAAGCATATAAGAAAAAAAGCACAATGAATGAGAACCAAAGGAAAAAAACAAACATCAGTAAGTACTGCATAAGGCTGAGAATCAATGAGAAATTAGAGCAAATTAGATCAAAACCCAAAGACAGGTAATTATAGGTGTAAGAGCAGAAATAAGTAGGAAAAAAAACAATATAAAATTGAAAGGACAAATAATAAAGCCAAATTTTGAAAAAAAGCAGACTAACAAAGCTTTGTTGAGACTGATCAAAGGAAAAGAAAACAAGCACAAATAACCAGAATCAGAAAAGGAAATGCAGATATCATCACAGATGATGTAAACAATAAAAAGATATTAGGAATATATTATCAAATATTTTAAGTAAATATCTTTGAAAATTTGGATGAAATGGACAGATTCTTGGAACATTAGTATTCCAACTGTCTCAAGAAACTACTCTAAATAGGCTTATAATCATTAAAGAACATTAGTTAGTAATTAAAAACCTCAGAAAACTCCAGGCCGAAATGGTTTTATTAGTGAGTTCCACCAATCACTTTAGGGAAAAATAACTCTAATTTTATGCATAATATAAAAAGAATACAAAATGGTATTCAAGATTGAAGGCTAATTTGCCAATGAAAAATCAGTTACTAAAATTCATCTTGTTAAAGATTAAAGAAGAAAATGTACAATCTTCTCTACAGAATGCAAAAACAAAAAATATCTGATAATATTTTTCATGATAAAAAATAAAACTCTCACTAGTAATACAATGGAACTTCCTCATTCTAACTTAAAAAAAAAAAGCAAGCAAGCATAATAAATGGTAAAAATAAAGCTTTCCCTTTGCATGAGGACATGGCAAAGATACCCACTAATACCACTGACTATCCAACATAATACTGTAAGTGCTACCCAGTGCAATCAGGTTTTAAAAATGGAAGAAAGAAAAATTAAAACTGTCTTCAGCCATAATGAAGTAACCGGGACTGGATTTACTCTCCCACTATGAACAACTAGAAACTTGGATAAAATACACGAAAAAGGCTTTCAGACATTGGACAACAGGCAGTATAAAACTGTGTTCATTGAGAAGGGAAATAAATGAGGAAAGCTTTATGATTCTCCCAGCTTACTGCCTGAAGACAAGTTTCCAGGGCACAGCACAAAAGCGCACAGAGCCTGGCGGACTCACCCAGTTGAGACAGAACAGGAGTTCAAGGAGGCCAAAGCAACTAGAATTTGTAGGCAAGAACACTGAATAGAAGGCAGCTGCTCCAACACAAGTGCTAATGATCTAGACAGACCGCGCTTCCCTCCAGTCTGTGGTGAAGCACTAATCTGCACAGACATGTGAGGAAAGAACCCAAGACTATGGATATTTCCTATGTTATAATCATGGTGGTAGTTACAAAACTATGTATTTGTCAAAATTAACTGAATTGTACACTTAAAAAAAGTGCATTTTATTCTGTGTAAACTATACATCAATAAAACTTATTTATTTTTTTAAAAGATTTTATTTATTTATTTGACAGAGAGAGACACAGCGAAAGAGGGAACACAAGCAGGGGGAGTGGGAGAGAGAGAAGCAGGCTTCCCACCGAGCAGGGAGCCCAATGCGGGGCTTGATCCCAGGACCCTGAGATCATGATCTGAGCTGAAGGCAGACGCTTAATGACTGAGCCACCCAGGTGCCCCAATAAAACTTATTTTAAAAGAAACAAAAGAACTGAAAAAAATATATAAATGTCATTATTCATAGATTACACTATTATACATACATAGAAAATCTACACAAATTTAGAGATGAATTGCTGGAATTAATCAGAGAATTTACAAAAGTCACTGTATGCAAAATCAATTATATTTCTATACACCAAATAGAAAATGAAATATTTCTAAAAGATAGCATCTAATGAGAGCATCAAATACGCCAAATATCTAAGAATAAATTTAAGTAAAGCTGTTATAAGATCTCTACACTGAAAACTATAAGGAAATTATGAAGATTTAAAGTAACATGTCACAGGCCTTTGACTCTATCACTAATCTGCTTCTTCGAGAAAGTCCACATAAATGTGCTGGAAGGCCATCATTAAGTCACATAAAGGGAATCAATTATGGAAACTATTTCCCCTCTAAAGCAAACTTCAGGAAATTAAAAAATTACCTCTAACAATGAAAGTATATGAATTTCAAAAAGGAAAAACAACAAGAAGTTATTGCTTAACCCCAAACTATTTCCCTGTTTCATATTTTAAATTTCATACACAGTCTATAATCATTCTTTATAATACCATAGGAGAAAGAATGACATAATATAAAATATAAGTAAAATTTCACTATCAAACTTTTCCTGCAATGCTTAATAATGGACCTGGCTGATTTGCTTAGAATTTCACACACAGAAAAATTCATGCACCATGGATTGGGCCATTATATATTTGCCATTGTATGTCTTACTTTTTTCCCCTCAACAAAATAAGTCCTGCCTCAAAATTAGTACAAATCACTTATTATACACCAAACTGGCATGTGAGGAAATAATTAAAACAATTTTTGTCAAAGTACACATTTCAATAATGTGAGTCAAATTATGCTAAAAAAAAATTAAGACAACTGGATAGAAAAATGTCAATTTGTTAAGAATAAAACATTGCTGATTTATTAAAAAAAAAAAAGTTAAAGTCTAGGAGGAAAAGGTATGAATTTCCAGAGTAGAAAACCAAATCATGGCTCATGGGACAAGACAACTGTCTTGAAATAAAACGATTACAATAAGAAAACATGTACCTCTCTTCTTTGTTTATTTGGTCACCAAATCCTACTGTATTCACAATGGTCAATTTCAATCGAACATTACTTTCATGGAGTTCATATGTCTGGGCTTTAAGTCTAACATGTGGGTAAAAATGTGAGGATCCATGGTCTTCAAAATTAGTATTAAACAATGTGTCAATCAGCGTTGATTTTCCAATGCCAGTCTCCCCTGAAAGAAACAAAGGTACATCTTCACAGGTGCAGAGGACAAATGAGAAAAAATAGAACTCTTAGACTGGTTTCAAGGATTCCAAATATTTCAAACATTCCAAATGCTGAGTTGTCTATGAAAGACATACAAGTTAAGGCTGGTCCACTGAGTCATTAGCAGAACATAAAAGTGAATATGTATGCTAAGTTACTCAGAACTCTGAAGAAAGCACTGAAATGTTTAAAGAACAAAAAAGTTTAAAGCAGTACAGCTAAGAAAAACAAAACTGACAGAATTTAAGTAACTGAAAAAAATCTGCAATCATGATCTCAAATTAATAACATGAGCATCATACTGCTTCCAAGAGTGAAGAGAACACAAGGAATATAAAGGAATAATTTAGAGGAAGAGTTTGGCACTTACCCACACAGAGAATGTTAAAACAGAAGCCTTGCTGAATGGATCTATTGACCAGCTGATCAGGCAAACTCTCAAAACCAACATGGCCAGACATAGTTAAAGAACGAATATTTTCTTTTTTTTGCTAAAGGAAAACAAAGACAATGACAATAATTTAAAACAATTTTAATTAATTGTTTTAATTTAAAATTTAATTTAATTTAAAAAATTAAAATTTTTAATTAAAATTAAAAACAAAAACTTACTAAAATAGCACGTAGGCACATTTGAAAGGATAAATATACTTTACCAAAGAAACTAAAGATTTTATGATCATTAGACCTTCACCAAGATACAACTATATTAATTAAATTTGTGAGAAACCTGTTTCCAGACCCTGAAAACACATACACATTTCTTATTCTCTTCATTCAAATACTTGATTTCCAAAAATTAGGAAAATACTCATGTAAACTATGGCAGAGTCATTCATGAAATGGAATGTTTAAAGTTATTATAGATGTTTATGATAAGTATTTAGTAACTTAAATTTTACATTAAAATGTCACATGAAAAAAGTACAATAGAAAATTACAGTTTCAGCTCCCAGTAATGGCAGAGTAACTTATGTCACCTGCTAATAACAATTATAATCTATTCTTCCAAGTCAATGGAGTGCAACCAAAGGCCAACAGACACTGGAGGTCTCTTGGGAGTAGGAACCATGTAAAGTGAGATGCACATTTTCTAGGTCTTTCTGAGGGCATACCCCAGTCACTGCTGCTCAAAGAAGACAGACCTCAGGATGGAAGTGGTAGTCTTACCGGGTTGAGAAGTTGGAAATAAGGGCAGGTAGATCAGCTGAAAATTGAAGAAGAAAATTACAGAAAGGAGGGAGTCCAAAATCTGCAAGCGCACTCCCCTCAAATCTCTGGCTGACTGCTGAACTGCACAAGAACAGGGGGAACACAAAGAGCCTAGCAAGGGGGAAATGGAAATTGGAAGGAGCTATGTAGAGTTTTCAAGAATGCCATCCTGGGAAGCTTGAATTTTAACTCTGTAAGTTAAAGGGGCTTAATAAACATTTCAGGCTTTCCACCAAAAACCTATGTGGACATTTTAGGAGTAAGGATCACATCCCAGGAATCAAAAATGTTCCCTAGCACACAAATGAAATAGACCTGCCCTAACAAAGTGTATAACCAAGGCTCAACGTGAACAATGCAAGAAGCTAGTAATTTACTGCCTGCTAGAACCAAGGTCAACACTCTTCAGAAGGAGAAATCAGATTCCAGCACCTCTATGATGTATCATCCACAACATCTACTATACAATAAAAAATTGCTACAGAGGAAGAAGCAGAAAAATGTGATTCATGGTCAGGGGGAAAAAGTCAACAGAAAAAGATCCACAAATTAACCGGATATTTAATCAGCTGATAAGAACTTTAAAATAACTATGATAAATATGCTGAAGAAGAAAAAATATCCTCTTTCTCTACAGGAAAAGGAGATAGGTATAATAGGTGGTGAATTACAAGAGAGATATGAAAGCTCTCAACAACAAAAGGCAACAAATGGAATTCCTAGAAGGAAAAACGCAACATCTGAAATAAAAAACATATTGAACAGAATTAACAGCAGATCAAACAATGGAAGGAAAGACTTGTTCAATAGCTATAACCAAGTTAAATATCTTTATCAATCCAAGCTAAAAATCTCTTATAGAAAAGATAAAACTAAGAGTCCAAAAAAACTGTGGACAGTATCAAATGGTCTTACATACCTGTAATTGGAATGCCATATAGAAAAGATGGGGAGAGACTGCGGAGGGGAAGGAAATATCCAAGTGATAGTAACTGAAAATTTTCCAATTTTCTAAACATGAACTAAGAGATCCAAGAATTTTAGCAAACTACAAACAGGAAAAATCCAGAGCAACCCACAACTAGGTACATTAGAGCAAAATGTTTCAAAACAAAGATAAAGAAAAACTTTACGAGCAACCAAATATGGGGAGACATACTACACACTAGTGAAACATATAAAATGACTACAGGTTTCTCATAAACAACAACCAAAGCATAAGACAACAGAACATCAACAAAATGCAAAAGAAAAAAATGACAACCTAGAATTCTATATCCAATGAAAATATCGTTCATAAATGAAAGCCAAAGGAAGACATCTTCAGACAAAAAAAAAAAAATCTGAAAAAATTCACTAAGAGCAGACCTACATTATAAGCAATGTTAAAAGTTATTCAAGAGAAAGGAAAATGACATCATATGTACAAAAAGAAATAAAAATTGCCAGAAAGGTAGAAATGTGGGTAATTATAAGAGAATTTTTTTGTTAGTTTTAATTTCTTGAAAATATGATTGTTTAAAGCATAACAACAAGAATGTATTGCAGAATCTGTAATCACAGAGATGCAGAATTTATGACAGTGACAGCACAACAGATGGGAAAGGAAATGGAGAGCTACTGTTGTAAGGTTTCTATATTATACATGAAGTATTATAATACTGTTTGAAGATATGTGTGATAAATTAAAGCCTACACCAATTACTATTTTAAAAAAATAAAAGACCAAAGAGATATAGCCAATAAGTCAATAGTTAAGATGAAATGCAATCATAAAAATATTAATCCAAAAGGGATAGAAAAAAGAAAAATGAAAGAACAAATGGAACAAAGAAAATAGCAGCAAACAGGCAGACTTAAACTAGCCAAATCTATAATTAAATTAAATGTAAATGGTCTGAACCAGTGATAACCAACAACTTCCTATGATGGCAGAAGTGTTCTACATCTGAGCTGTGCAACAGGGGCCCACTAGCCGGCCACATTCAGATACTGAGGACTTCAAATGTGACTAATCCAACTGAGGAACTGATTTTTAAATTTTATTTAACTGATTTAAATTTAAATAGCCTCATGTGGCTAGTGGCTACCATTCTGGACAATGAATGTCTAAACATTTCAGTTAAAAGAAGGAAATTGTCAGACTGAATAAAAGAGCAAGACTCAACTCTATGCTATCAATATAGGAACTGATAATCTGGTTCTAAAATCTATATGGAAATGTAGGTGATTAAGAACAACTACAACAATTATGCAAAAGAACAAAGTTGAAGGACTTACACTACCTAATGATAAAGCTACAATCGCCAAGAAGTGTGGCACTGTGATAATCTAATTATCTATTTGTCTGCTTCATCAAAATTAAAAACTTGTGATCATCAAGGAATATGTAAATCAGATTGAAAGAAAATATTATATATTTGATATATACATGACAAAGCACTTATATTCAGAATACATGAAGAATTCAAATGATTTAATAATAACAATCCAGTTTTTTAAAAAAATGGGTAAGGACTCGAATAGAACTTCACAAAGAAGATAACAAAATAGCCAATGAGCAAATGAGAGAGTGCTCAACAGTACTGGTTATTAGGGAAATGTGAATTAAAACTACAGTAAGATGGGTGCCTGGGTGGCTCAGTCAGTTAAGCGTCTGCCTTTGGCTCAGGTCATGATCCCAGCATGCTGGGATCAAGCCCCGCATTGGGCTCCCTGCTCAATGGGGAGTCTGCTTCTCCCTCTGCCCCCACCATTCTCTCACCAATTCTCTCTCTCTGTTTCTCAAAAATAAATAAATAAAATCTTAAAAAAAAAAACTACAGTAAGATATCACTGAACACCCACCAAAATGGCTAAAATTTAAAAATTTAAAAGGCTGATACATTTGTTGGTGTGAAAGCAAAATGCTATAGCCACTTTGGATAACAGGTGGGCAGTTTCTTATAAAGTTAAATACACATTACTATACAACCAAAAAACTCTACCTGTAGGTACCCAAGATAAATAAAAATACACATGAATGTTCTTGGCAGCTTTAGTCCAAATAGTTAAAAACCAGAAACAACCCAAATATCCAACAATTGGTGAATGGAGAAATAAAATGTAGTATATCCATTCAATGGAATACAAAACTACTGATACATGCCACAACATGGGTAAGTCTCAAAAACTAAGTGATGTTTTTACTGTGATTTGACTAAAAAAATAAAAGCATATTTTTTCATATATTCTCATATATATGAATATGGATAAAAATCTTTCAAACGGTAGTGACAGACTACTGAGAGTGGTTATTACTGGGGAATGGACTTGGAGGGAGTGGTCTGGGAGGTAGAGGTGAGAAAGATTCACTTTTTACTGTATATGGTGGGTAAAATTCTAACATGGACCCCAAGATTGATGGCCCCTGGTGTACCCACACCTTCTATTTTTTTTTTATCAAACACTAATCTAGATGCTACTATGAAGGGACTGTGTAGATGTAATTAAGGTCACAAATCAGTTAACCTGAGAAAGGGAGATTATCCTGGGTGGGCCTGACCTAATCAGGTGAGCCCTTAAAAAGGACTGGGAGCTTCCAGGTGAAAGAGATTTGAAACCTGAAGGGGATTTGACATTTGGGTTCTCCCCTCTTGTATGGATGACAGAGAGCTAAATGGCAAGGACATAAGAATGTTCTCTAGGGGCGCCTGGGTGGCTCAGTCATTAAGCGTCTGCCTTCGGCTCAGGTCATGATCCCAGGGTCCTGGGATCGAGCCCCGCATTGGGCTCCCTGCTCGGCAGGAAGCCTGCTTCTCCCTCTCCCACTCCCCCTGCTTGTGTTCCCTCTCTCACTGTCTCTCTCTGTCAAACAAATAAATAAAATCTTAAAAAAAAAAAAGAATGTTCTCTAGGAGCTGATAGCAACCAGCCATCAAGAAACTGAATCCTGCCAACAGCCTGAAAGAATTTGGAAGGGGAGCCTCAGATAAGAACCTAGCCAGCCAACATCCTGAGTGAGACCCTGAGCAGAGAAGCCAGCTGTGCTGGCCTGACTTTCTAACCTACAAAACAATGAGCTAATAAATAGGTGTTATTTTAATCAACTAAATTCATGGCAATTTGTTACAGGGCAATAGAAAACTAGTATACTATATTCTCTTTTCTACCTTTTGAATACCTTTTAGTCATGTTAAGTATGTTGTCTTTATTATTAAGAGAGAGAAGAAACACTATGCTTCCCAGTCATGAAAGTATTCAAGATGATTAGAGTAATACTTGTTAGAGTTTTTACCTGATAAGCACATGCTTATCAGATAAAAGTCGAACTAAATGATCTATAGAATCCCTTCTAGTTCTAAAGCTATAAGATTATGTTAAAAGAAGCTTTTCAAAAATGAAGAAGAGGGACCAGAGAAAATGATGATTAAGCAATGACCATTCAGTGGATTAGTCACTAAAGCATTAGTGACTGTGACAGCAGTTTCAGCAGAGCAATGTGTTAGAAAGCAGATAAAGAGTAATTCCAAAGGTCTGCAAGGTGATAAAATAAAGATGGGGCAGACTATTATTACCAAAGAGTGAAAAAAAGATAAAAAGGACGGTAGTTTGGTGGTCAAACTACAATTTATCAAAACCATGGAGCCTTTCGCACGTGTGAAGGAAGAGGGAAAAACAAGAAGAGGCTTAATGGGCACAAAACTAAGAAAATCATTTAATCTTATTGAATTACCCATGCTTGTATTTGCGATTTTTATTTATTTATTTATTTATTTTAAGATTTTATTTATTTATTTGACAGGGGGAGAGAGAGAGCGCACAAGCAGGGGCAGCAGCAGAGGGAGAGAGAGAAGCAGGCTCTCCGCTGAGCAGGGAGCCCAATGCGGGGTTCAGTCTCAGGACCCTGGGATAATGACCTGAGCCAAGGCAGATGCTTAACCTGTATTTGCGATTTTCTATTTAAAGAATCATTAGCTCACCTTTCACCAAGTTAAATTTACCCCTCTTTTTAAATATAAATTTTAGTACGAATTACCAAAACACATCCCTCCTATGCAGGCACACTTAGAAGAACCTTTAAGGGCTGATCTCGCACTCAGGAAGGCATCTGACAGGGCCATCCAGCGACTTCCTACACTCTGTCATTAAAGGAGCTCTCTCCATCCACCAAGTTCTGCAAGTATGCCCAGCAAAGGCAGTGCTAGTCTTCCTACTGAATGCTGTGGAAGCAGTTAAGAGTTTTAATTTGCTTCATGTCCCATAAGAAAGAGACACTGAAAACACTCAATAACTATTCAATCCATTATTGATTTTTAATTTCAATCAACATAAAAGTTAATTTATATTCAAGGTACAAACAAAAGTCTTTCAGGTCTCTGAGTAGTTATTTTGAAATCCTAGAGGTATGCAGAGTACAATATGGATCTATTTAAAAGATATACTCACTTTCTGTTCATCATCAAATACTTGTGAGGACAGACAAGTTGTTTTTGTTGGCATGTGAGACTGATAGAGCTGAAAAAGAAAAAAAATTAAAACAGATATTACTCCAGAAAACCTTATATCTAAATAACATATCTATGTTAAAGAGGAATTCTAATATTATCATTATCACCAAGTTTTGACTTGCAATTTATACAACTGACTCATGCTTTTATTAAAACATGGTTTTCCTGCTGGATAAATATATGCAAAAGTAAATAATATATAATATTCAACATATAGTTTACAGTCAACATACTTACCCAAATATGCAAAAATACTATAAAAGAGTAAACTCCCATTTACATCCAGAAAGACAAAGAACATGACTTTTATTTAGAAGACTTTACAGTGGGAACCAGAAAAGACCCCAGATAGCCAAAGGAATGTTGAAAAAGAAAACCAAAGCTGGAGGCATCAGAGTTCCATACTTCAAGCCGTATTACAAAGCTGTCATCATCAAGACAATATGGTACTGGCAGAAAAATAGACACATAGATCAATGGAACACAACAGAAAACCCAGAAATGGACCCTCAGCTCTGTAGTCAATTAATCTTCGACAAGGCAGGAAAGAATACCCAATGGATAAAAGACAGTCTCTTCAACAAATGGTGTTGGGAAAATTAGACCATGACATGCAAAAGAATGAAACCAGACCACTTTCTTACAACATACACAAAAATAAACTCAAAATGGATGAAAAACCTAAATTTGAGACATGAACCCATCAAAATCCTAGAGGAGAACACAGGCAGCAATCTCTTTGACCTAAGCCACAGCAACTTATTAGACATGTCTTCAAAGCCAAGGGAAACAAAGCAAAAATGAACTACTGGGACTTCATCAAGATAAAAAGCTTTTGCATAGCAAAGGAAACAGTTGACAAAACTAAAAGGTAACCTATGGAATGGGAGAAGGTATTTGCAAATGTCTTATCAGATAAAGGGCTAGTATACAAGATCCATTAAAGAACTTATCAAACTCAACACCCAAAAAAAACAAAAAAATCCAGTCAGGAAATGGGCAGAAGACATGAACAGACATTTCTCCAAAGAAGACATAAAAATGGCCAACAGACACATGAAAAAATGCTCCACATCACTCAGCATCAGGAAAATATAAATCAAAACCACCTGACAGGTGTGAAATACCACCACATACCAGTCAGAATGGCTTAAATGAACAACTGAGAAAACACCAGATGTTGGCGAGGATGCGGAGAAAGGGGAACCCTCTCATACCGTTGGTGGGAATGCAAACTGGTGCAACCACTCTGGAAAACAGTATGGAGGTTCCTCAAAAAGCTACAAATAGAGCTACCTTACAACCCAGCAATTACACTACTAGGTATTTATCCAAAGGATACAAACATAGTGATTCAAAGGGGCACATGCACCCCAATGTTTATAGCAGCAATGTCCACAATAGCCAAACTATGGAAAGAGCCCAGATGTCTATCAACAGATGAATGGATAAAGAATACATATACACATATACATAAGATGTGATGTGTGTGTGTGATGTGTGTATATATATATACACATTGTACATATATATATATATATAGACATGGATGGAACTAGAGGGTATTATGCTAAATGAAATAAGTCAATCAGAGAAAGACAATTATCATATGATTTCATTCATTCATACATGGAATTTAAGAAACAAAACAGAGGAGCATGGAGGAGGGAGGGAAAAATAAAATAAGACATAATCAGAGAGGGAGACAAACCATAAGAGACTCTTAACCATAGGAAACAAACTGAGGGTTGATGGAGGGGAGGATGGGGTAACTGGGGTGTTGGTCTTTAAGGAGGACACTTGATGGAATGAGCACTGGTTGTTAGAGGCAACTGATGAATCATTAAATTCTACCTCTGAAACTAATAATAAACTTTATGTTAATTAAATTGAATTTAAATTAAAAATTAAAAAAAAACAAAAGACTTTACGGGATTAGAAAGGGAAAATAAGCTATTTCACTAAAAAAAATATTCTAGGAGCCAAGAAGATACTCAAAATTAGGTATATTCCCCAGGAGCATGCCAGGGTAAATACAAATGTTAATGATCCAATTTCAGTAGAGTTAGGAAAACAGGTATTTAAAAATTTGAACAAGTCCCTTAGTTATCCAATTAAAATAGAAATAATTATCATTTAGAGGGTTCCTGTTATATGCCAATCATTATATAGCTCATTAAGTACATATTTTTATTTAAGTACATTTCTTATTTTCTGAGCTATACATATTCTCATTCCGACAGCCTACATGAGAAAATTAGGATTCTGAAAGGTTAAATAACATACCCCAAATCATAAAAGCCAATAAACTGTAGACACAGGTCTGATCTGCCTGCAAAGCTGATGTTCCTTCCACTACTGTCCCAACCTACAAACCAAACAAATATTCACTGTTTGCAACAGTGAGGAATGGGGGAAGAGAAGTAAAAGAGAAGTGGGAATTTCAAAGCAATGCTGCCTCAAAAGTTGCTATCCTACTTTTCAGGGCAGCACGAGATACTAAGGAATTGTGGCATTTTTTTAAAAAGTAGCATTCGTATGGATGTAGTAAGAAAAATGTAAACAGTGCCAGTAAGAAAACAGTGCAAAATAAGTTCCTCTCCTACCCTTGATTTACTAGTACCTCAGCAGACCTATGTATCCTTGCAGAGACAGACCATGCATGTATGAACATACGTGAATATGCAGGTGTCTTAATTTATAAGAATGGTAGTGGCCTATTGCTCTGCATTGTGGTGTTTCCCCTTAATCTCTCACAGAGACTGTTTCACTGTTATGCAGGTCTACTTCATTCCTTCAGTAGTATAGTATTGTTTTATATAAGACAATATATGTGGATCTCTATTTAAGCAGTCCCTAGTCTTTAATTACAATAAACTATGCTTCAATGAACAGCTTTGACCACATGTATGATGAAAGGGAGAACCTTAGCACTGCAGCAAGAGAGTAGTGCTTTTGGCACCTTCAAGTGCTCCCCCACCACACACACACACACACACACACACACACACACACACACACACTGGGATTGTGAATGCAATCTCACAGATACACAGGTATGTATCATGACTGGATTTTATAGAATACTAACAACAATCTCCCTCTGTACATTCTGGATAATATAAGCTATTGAAGCTGGCCTTGTGACTTAATCACTACATATACAGTGTTTCCAAATCCTGAGTACCTAACTGAACACATTGTTTCAACATGAAATGACTCTTGTCAATTGGAAGATGTCCTTATATAAAGCACACAACAAAAATTCTGTGATGAACACTTAGGTACTGGCTGTATTTTCACAATTTAAAAAAGTGAAAAATACATAAGCACATCAAATTGGCTTAAGGTTTTGTTTTTTGTTTTTAACTATATATACTTCACCTTACTCCCCCCAGCCAGCTCCCTTGCCCCTAGTCATTGTGTGACATGTAGGCAGTAGCTCATGTCCCTCTCCTATGCCAGAAGAGAAAAGTGAGAGCTAAGGGAAAAGAGCAGTGGTAGTTATGGAGATGTGGAGAAAGAGATCATTACAGGCCAGAGCAGTTTTCAGAGAAGACAATGATATTGCAACGAGTCAGGAAAAGTGGCATATATAGCAAGAGAGAAGGTGGCATTTAGGATAGAAAAAAAAATCCCTGAGTACCAGAGGGAGGTAGAATTTAGTATTTGGAGAAAGAAAATAGTGAATATAAGAGTTTGGTGGGGAAAAAAAAGTTCATTGGTCTCCTGCTATAGTTATGAATGAGGTTATAAATGAGGCTGAGAAAACGATTAGGTACAACAGATGAGTAGCTGATTGAGGAATTTTGAAGTGTCCATCTCAAGAGTCTGACTTGTTGGTAAAGGCAAAAAGTGCCAAAGAAAATAACTGTTTGGGGCCCTGTTCAGACAGAGCCTTGCCTTAAACTGAGTAAGAGAGTAGAACATTCCATGCCTAGTGCTACTTCCTGAGGTCAAAAAAATTATGGTTAAGAAAGTAGCTTCACAGTTTTAATATAATGACTAGCATATTTTTGTTAAATACTTGCTTAGTAAGCAATTTGGGTGATAAGTAAAATTTGCTTAGGGGCGCCTGGGTGGCTCAGTCGTTAAGCATCTGCCTTTGGCTCAGGTCATGATCCCAGGGTCGAGCTCCCTGCTCAGTGGGAAGCCTGCTTCTCCCTCTCCCACTACCCCTGCTTGTATTCCCTCTCTCGCTGTGTCTCTCTGTCAAATAAATAAAAAAAATCTTAAAAAAAAAAATTGCTTAAGAAGCAGGATAGGTTTTGTATTAGTTCATCACTAAATTTTGACTAATAAAACCTAGGTGATATTTCTGTCATTTATGTAAGTTCATTTCAAAGATCTGCTTTTGATTGTTCATTTTCTGTGTTTCTGAATACCTGCCAAAATAGTCTACTTAATATTTCTGTGGATAAATGTTTTGATCAGGAAGTATGAATGAGTCACACAGAAGTATTAAAAATAGTTGTTTTTAATTTTTCCCCTGCCACTACCTGACTAGTCGAATTTCCAAAACAAGTTTTAGAATAAAGTTTTTAACAAATTAACAAGACATTACTGAAGGTAAAATAACAAGGGGACAAGAGCTGACCAAGTCCCTCTAGTGGCAAACCCTAAATTAAAAAAAAAAATTTTGGAAGTGGAATTCCAGTCTGCAATATCAATGATCACTTACTATGTGTAAATCACTGTGCTGGGTACTGAGGTCTGAGGAGGAGTAAGACAGAGCCCTTAATCTTAAGAACTTACCTCAGAGAAACACAAAGTCATTGATCAATCTCATTCCAAGGAAGACTAACAAAATCACCACCTCCACTTGATTACTGTTTGCTTTTTCTAAGGTTTTTACTTTATTTTAAATATATATACACATCATACACAAACATATATATATTTAAATCTATACACACACTACCTACAGGGGGAAAAAAATACAGTACCTTTAACTCCTGGCAAACTCTAACACACTTTTTTTTAAGTTGTAATATATAATGAATCATA